GAGGGATCTGGATCTGAACATCCGGCATGAGGATGGAGAACCAACAGACATATTTCACTGCTTTTTTTTTTTTTAATCTGTTCTTGGTGTGGTTTCCAGGTAAAAGACTGTTAAATATTCTTTGTTGAACAAACTGGGAAAACAGAAATGTAGCTCAGGTTGCAATAAAAATAGGGGTTAGCTTTTCTTGCCTATGCCTTCCTCTGAGAGGCATAATTCAGGTCACACGGTGCACAAGATGCTGGCCTGTGAGACAGTGCTGAGGATAAATGTGCAGCTCCACAAGGCCCTGCTACTGTCCACAGGCAGCTGGAGCGGAAGGCGGCTTTCCAGGATGTCGCTTTTCTCATCTTGACCTGTTCCCTTCTTCTTTCTAATAAAGTTAGGCTAGGGGAAACACAGGACTAAAGCAAACTAATTTCCAGTAAAGCGGCCTCTCCTCTGAGTCAGGAGAGGATGAGAGCATAGGAAGCCAGGCCCTGTCACAAAACACCCCAAAAGGGGACCTAACATTGTTCTTTTTTTTCCCCCCTTAAAGACGGAAACATTTACAAAATGATGGGAAGACAGAAAATAGAACAGAAAAAGGGAAAAGAGGAAGTAGAATTCAAGGACAAAGGAATCCAAAGAAATCTATTGACATGTAGCAAGTTTCACCTGATCTTCTTTAGACTGGCTTGTCACCAACCCTGCAGCTTAAAGACATAGGAGCTCATTTCACCTGCTGACTTAGAGCCATCACCATGGGAGAAACTGGCACTGTGAGGCTGGCAGTGTGCTGGCCCCTTTGGATCCCACCCTCCACCCCTCTATGAAGATCCCACACAAGAGCATATCAGTGAAATTAGATAACTGGTAATTCGAAGACCAGCTCCTTACTCGGACAATGAAATGCTTGGAGAGGAAAAAAAAAACTGTTTAAAACCTGAGGCAGGAGGATCATGAGTTAGAGGACGGACTGCATGGGCTGCATAGTGAGTTGCAAGCCAGTACGGGCTACAAAGTAAGACCCTGCCTTAAAAATAAATAAAACAGACAAATAAATGCAAATCTGCATACTCTATATGGATAACAGTTTTATATCATTGGGCTACACCTACAGTTCACTGAGCTCGCTATTCAGTTCCGAGCAGGAGGCAAAGGCTGTGGGACCCACAGGACTAGAACTGTTTCTCTTCTTGTTCCTTTGGCAAAATGTCTGGCAGAAATGATTTATCATGGTTTCAAAGAGATTTCAGTCCATCCCAGTAGGGAAGGCACAGCGGGGCAAAGGCAGCTCTCATCTTCCCCTGGCAGTGGGACAGGAAGTAGAGAAAGCAGGTAGGAACCAGGGACAGGTTAACCCTCAAGTCTGGCTTAATGACCTATGTTTGCCAGACAGCCACATCTCCTACAGGCTCTGCAGCCTTCAAAGTCCTGCTACCAGCTCAGGGTCAAATGGTCACAACAAGATTAAGGTCATGTTGGGGTGTGGGAGCCCAGAGCTGCTACTCACTCAATGAGGATACGGATTCTAATCTGTCCCTTTGTCAAGGAAGACCCTGGGCAAGTAGAGTGGCATACACCTGCAATCCTGGCACTGGGCAGGCTAAGGCAGGAGGACCTTGAGTTCAGACAGAGTTATAAAGGGAGATCTCCTTTTACCCCACACCCCAAGAACACAGATCTTGTAGAAGTAAGCTTCGTGCTACGGATCGTGACAAGAGGCCATGGGCCCAAAAAGTCACCTTCTCTCTGCACAGCGCAGGGGACTTTATGCTCTCTCTCTACCTCAAGCCTTAAATACAAAAGCCTACGTAAAGCCTGCTTAACATCATACTCAAAGAGAAATAATTCTGGCTTTAACTTCAGAACTCTATAGGAGTTGGGGTAGGTAGCTATCGAACACGTGAGACTGCGAGCAACAGAGTAAGCCTCGAGAGAGTCAAGTCCTGAGTGAATGTGTACTGTTGGCATGAGCACAGCCCTGTCAAGAACCAAAGCCTCAGGCCCATGGGAAAACGGCAGAGCCTTCCCGGGCTAGGCTCAAGGAAATGGCGAGGCCTTCTCTCCTGGTCTGAGTGCCGGTGTTGACAGTGTGTGCAGAAAATGCTCAGCGTAGCTTTCTCCCTGAGAGGTTTACAGTCTTAAGACTGCTCCTTTGGAGATTAGCTGAATCGGTCTCCTTGTTCAGCCTTAGAGCCTCCTTCTGGTGCGTTGGAGGATTTTGAGAATGGCTCACTGATTTCTCAGTAAGTCCTCTTGATCAACAGCCTTTGTCCTTCTGCTCCTCCCTGGCGTTCTGGTCTTTCACTTGAATCCCAATCTCATTATAATCAATATTCTATGAAGACTCAGTAAATGAGTTGGATTCATGGAATACAAATGTGACCTCTGAATAATTCTTTGAATTGGGCAGAGCTAAATTCTCCAGGATACCGTGATTTTCCTCCCCTAAATATGGAATATTCCAGGAGTGAGTGTTCCAGTGAGCCACCTAGTGTTTTTCATACATACAAGTGTGTATGAAGGCTCTCACACGCTTGCACTCCCGTGTTTACTGTGAAGCACCAACCCCAAAGGCTTCTCTACAAACGCCCTCTCCACATTAGACAACTCTTAACCTAAATGAAAACAACATTCTGCACCTCCTAAGGTACATGGATACCTTACCTGTGTAGCCTGTAGTATCAATCTCTGTTCTGTCTTCCAGAAATGGAAGACATTTTTGAAAACTGGTACCCCACAAAAAGCAAAACAAGAGACTTGGGGCGCCCTCTGCTGTCTCTGCTAAGTTCTTCTGCTGTAGGTTGGAAAAGAACAAAGCATGAATAAAAGTCAGCCCCATACACACTCAAGCATGTGCACACGCAAACATGCACACACGTGCAGGCAGTAGAGACGTGTAAATAAAACCATGTTTCCCACCTGCCTGCTTTGAGATGCCATTGCCTTCCACTTGCTGGTGTCAAATCTGTGAACTTGAGCTTCTCCCAAGTAGTGGGGTCATAACTACCTCAGAGGGTTCCCCTGAGGATTCAATGAGATACCTACCCGGTTCCGCAGGAACCTGACAAACAGTAACCCCTGCTATATAGTGGCCACTTCTTTCTTTTAATTAACGCTGGCATAAGTGGTCGAGCTTCTGTTGAATTCCCTGTCACCCACGTACCTAAAGAGCAGTGGGTTCTCAACCCTCCTGATGCCTTAACCCTTTAGTACAGTTCCTATGTGGTGGTGACCCAACCATAAAATTATTTTCATTGCCACTTCAGAACTAATTTTGCTACTGTTATGAATCACAGTGTAAATATCTGATTTACAAAATCTCTGTGGTTCCTGTGAAAGGGTTGTTGGATCACCATAGGGGTAGTGACCCACAGGTTGAAAACCACTGCTATAGCTCAAAGGAACAATCCTGCCTTTTATATTTTTAAATTTTAAATTTCTAACTAACACATTTTAAGGAAGTGTCCAACTACAGCACTGTGCATTAGTTACCTCGGCACTAAGACGTTAAATGGGTCTCACTGGAGCACCAGCTGCCCCCCTCTCAGGGGAGAAGGGATTAGGGAAGGTTGCTATCTATTGTCCACAAAGCTGTTTGGGTTTCTTCCTTCTTGTTTTGTTAATGAGTGGTTGTGACCTAGCAATCGTCACCACATTTATTTAAGACATTACAGCCATTAGATGCTCAGCAAGAAAAGACACAAGGTTAAGTTGGGGGACAGGAGGCAAGGTCTATTCTCAAGGCTCTGAAGGCAGAGAAACTGCTAAGCTTTGTTGTTGTTGTTGACAAAACACCACACCCACAGATGCCAGTAAGACATTGTTTTCTTTTCTTGTTTAAGACGGGGGTTTCTCTGTGCAACAGCTCTGGTTGCCTGAAACTCAGAAACTCATGTTAGTAGGCCAGGCTGGCCTTGAACTCAGAGAGATCCACGCCTGCCTGCGCCTGCCTGCCCCGGGTGTTGGGATTAAAGATGTTCACAACACCTGGCTCCATTATCTTCTGTGAAGACGGAAACTTTTGGGTTTTGTTTTTAAATGAGGATGTCTAATACTTCATACAAGACAGGCAAAATCCGTTTGCCATCTGTGAGGTGGGCTCCTGCGCACAGTTCACGCAATTCCTCAGAAGGTGGGGACACTCTGCCCCCACTAAGGTGGTAATGGATGATGCAGTACAGTACTTACTGTGCCAGGCACAGCCTGCCTGCTTCATGTTCTCGGTGAGTTCACACTTACTCTAACCCAGTGTGCTGGCATTAGCCCGACTTACCAAATGAGCCAACTGACAGCCTGCGGCCACGCGATAAGTCACGGAGTCCTTAATAGTCTGCAAAGATCTTAGGAGGAACTGCTTCAGTCAGAAGAGATAATAATATGACCCTGTGGGACCAGGAATCTAGTGCCCCACCCAAATTAGTTCTGCCAGTTGGACAAGCCATTTCCTTAACCTGAAAGACGAGGGAGTTAGGAGATACGGGAAGTTTCTCTGACTCTAAAATGTCTGATTCTACAGACAATTCTTGCCTGAGAACAACAACGAAGTGAACAGACTTTATTCTGGAAATGGCCTCCAGGACAAGTCTGAAGCCCACTTGGTCTCTGCTGCTGGGCTCAACACCTGGTTGGACCTTCAGAAACAAGATTGAGGGAGATGGCTCCTGGCTACCTTTTGGAAAAGATCACACATGCACAATTCATCCAATGCTGCATTTCAAATTGCCACAGAAACGGCCCGCTGCCAAGAAAGTTTTATAATAATGGCAATAATCAAATAACAAAAATAGTGTGCACAAAGAGAAGGCGCAGAGCAAGCACAGTGACATGCAGGATCAAGTCTTTATGATATTAAATAGAACACTCGCACAGAAAACTACGCATCCCATGGCTTTTTAAATCGGGATTTGCCAACAACAAAGGCAATAATCATTTAAATTCAGCATACTTACCAATTCTGAAAGCTAAATTCTGGTTTTGTTTACATGCTGAGGAAAGAAAAACACAAGCTCAAGTCTGCGCAGGTTCCTTTTATTTCTTGTTTGGGAGAAAGATTAACTCTACCGAACCCTGAATGAAAATGTCAGATCATCCAAGCACACACGGGCAATATTACTCTGTAGATGGGAAAATGATGGCAGAAATGAGAGAAGGCCTTGCCCGTTTCCCCACATGGTAGAGGGTTTCAGATCTCTCGAATTCAGCGAGGACATCGCTTGCAAGGCATCTCTCCTGTGAAAGGTCACTCAAGGTTGACGAGACCATGGGAAATTCCTTCTGCAGGTACTTTCTGAGTGTCGCTCTGGTGTTGAGCTGCATTTGTGGCTGTGGCCCTTACTCTGGTGTGGCTGACATAGGGGAAGCTGCCTTTCTGTGGCAACGGTGCTTCCCTTGCTTGAGCTAGCTCTTCACATCTCTTTGATTGGCAAGTCACCACCCAGGGGACTTGGACGTAGGGAGACCAGGTGCTAGCACAGTGCACTGAAGTGAGATGCCTGGCACCCTGGAGAAGTCAATGATTCATCCACGGCAGCTCCTCCAGACCTGGGAGGCTGAAAACACAGTTATTCAGTCAGCAGGGACTGGCTGAGAGGTTGTAAGGTCCGTCGGCTGACTGTCCTCTTCTTTAACAACAATGTGTTGGATTTCTTGTCCCGGGGAACATGACAGAGCAGAGCATCCAGTGTGTAAATGGTGACTAGGCCGTTAACGTGCAGCTTCCCATAGACCTCATCAAATCTGGCCGCGAGTGTGGGGTTGTCCTTCAGTTTGTCCCTCACCTTGGCCAGCTGGAAGAAGAGTAGTCATTACATCACAATGACATCTTCCTATCCTCTAAGAAGCAGAAACAGGCATGCAGAAATGACCTGCGTACACACAAAGATGAACACCAGGGCACACAGGCCTGGGTGACTGTTAAGAGTCTCTGGAAGCCACAGAGTTCAGAACCTTAAAAGGAAGTCAAACAGCATATGCCTTATAGCAAAACGCAACTGGGAGAGGTCGAATACCAGCGGAATCAACAAAGTAAGGGTGAGAGCAGGGGTCAGAGAGTACAGACTTTACATAGAGTCCTAGGAAAGATGCTCGGAATTTACCCTAAAAGCCAGGGGATGGCAAGGGCTATGATCTGACCGAGACTTGAGAAATGGAGGGGGGAACCCCATCACAGCCCAGAGGAGGAAAAGGTGGTGGTGACTGGGAAACACAGGAAAGAAGGAGAGGTGAGGGTAGGTGAGGTGCACTGTGGGGGTTGGCAAGGGACTCGAGCCGAAGGAGAGGAGGCCAACGTCGCTTTCCTAACTGGGGTCTTAGGAACACGGTGATGGGTACTGCCATTTACTGAGCTAGGGGGACAGGGAGGTCCAGAACGGGAGGGGAAACCCAGAATCTCTTCTGGGGGTGGACATCAAGGTAGGCATGCCAAGGAGACCACTGGCCAGAGAGGTCTGAGACAGAGTAGAAGACCAGAAGTAGACACAGCAGTCACAAGTCCACGGTACTAACCCTACAAAAGTGGGTCAGCTCAGGATCAGGATCTGCACAAAGCCTAACTTTTACTTAGTTCAATTCCAACTGAGGACTCAGCCTAGCATTCCAATGCAAGTTAAGTAGGATCAAGCTTCCTAACATCCTTTGGACATCTTCTAAATAAATCCTTCCAAACATGGGCTCCTGACTGAACTGTAGATAATCAGTTTCATGTTCTGTGAGAACGGTTTCCTTAGCACTCGAGTTCACAGTGGATGATCGTCACGTTCATGTTGGGTATGGGATAATGCTCTTGCACACTGCAAAGATTTGTCACTAGTATTGGTTTAATAAAATGTTGATTGGCCAGTAGCCAAGCAGGAAATATAAGTGGGGCCACCAGACTAAGAGAATTCTGGGAAGAGGAAGGGCTGGGCTGCAGTTGTCACCTAGACACAGAAGAAGCAAGATGAAAATGCTGCACTGAGAAAAGGTACCAAGCCATGCAACTAAACATAAATAAGAATTATCGGTTAATTTAAGTTGTAAGAGCTAGTTAACAATAAGCCTGAGCTAATAGGCTAAACAGTTTAGAATTAATATAAGCCTCTGTGTATTTCATTGGGACTGAACAGCTGCAGGACCAGATGGGACAGAAACTTCTGTCTACAGTACAGCCTTCCCAGAGAAGCACAGCATAACAGACTGGAGGGACATTCACCCAGCTGCATAGGCCACGGTGGGTTCATCACTGCAGAAACCTTCATCAGCATCCCAACAGCCACGGGATGCAGGTAAGAAATTACATCATATTGCTCTGTTACCTCAGTTTTCAAAAGCCAATGAGAAAACAGCTAATACTGGAGCATGTTCACTAACATTACTGCAGGAAACTGGAAGCTCTTTCCTATACTCCTCTGTGGTATTCCATCTACCATAGTTGACAGACTCAACACACTTTTAATAACTATTGATATAAACATTAAGTACAGTATTTTCAAAATATAGAGTTTGGAAAGATGGCTCAGCAGTAACAAGCACTGGCTTCTTTCCAGAGGACCCAGTTTTGGCTCCCAGCACCCACATGCTGGCTCACAGCCTATCTGTAACCCCAGTTTCAGAGGATCTGGCACTCTCTTCTGGCTTCCAAGGCCACTCCATACAACAGGTGAACAGACATACATGTAGGCAAAAAACTCAAGACATGCAAAATTTAGAAAATAATATCTTCAAAAATATAGTTTTGTAATATTAGAGTCCATATATAGTCTGTTTCTGTCTCTGTCTCTCTCTCTCTCTCTCACACACACACACTTGGATCACATGCCTGCACTTGGTGGAAATGCCAGCTCCTAAGAGGCCGATGTAGGGGTTCCTAGGTTTTAGGCCAGCCTGAGTGCACAGCAGGACCCTGCCTCGGAAAACAACAATGATAACACAACAAGGGACCCAAAGAAACAAATGAACAAAACAACTAGCTCAAAAGGTTCATTTCTCATCAAGCAATTCCCTGAAAGTCTCAGGTAATCAGGGGGACCAGGTTGAAGCCCAGGGCGAGTTTTCTAAGTGAAAGAGTCTTAAGTCAGAATTTTCAGTGTGAGGCTTGTCTGTGTGCTTTAGACATAAATGGGCAACAACGGGCCACAATGATTTATTAAAATTAACTACTGAGAGAAACGAAAGTTGCATCAGTATTGTTATCACATACACAAGTATGCACATACAAACGTGCATGTGTGTATACACATGATCTCCAGCACACACAAGCACATCTGTGCACTCTAGAATCTGTTCATATCTCCACGTCCTCTGCTTTTAAAACTTACTCCATCCAACACGATCTGGGAAAATCACAACCCAGGCAGAGTGAGGCCCTCTAGTAGGAAGAAGCTAATCCTGCCAGTAAGCTTCCTGATAACTCCTTTGCCATCAGGAAGAAGCAGAAGCAAGGAAACAGGTGAGACAGAGCTGGGGTGCGGTATGATGAAGGAAGTGTGACCTGCTCCCTGGTGCCCATCCTGCCACCTCAGCCATCAGCAGAACTGGCAAAGCACAGGAAAGAGGAACAAGGAAGGAGGACCAACCCACAGGCCATTCGGTCAGAACAAATGACAGTGTGGGCATGACTGGTGCTAACACCTTTCCTTAGCTCTTCACTCCCTCCCCAACCACTGGACGTGTTATTGGAGGTATACATGACGACATTTTGGGCTGGACAGACAGCTCAGTGGTTAAGGGTGCTTACTGCTCTTGAAGAGGAGCTAGCTTTAGTTTCTAGCACCAAACTGGGTAGCTTAAAATCTCCTCTAACTCCTTTACCAGGAGACCAGATGTCTCTGCAGGCACCTGGACACACATGACACAGAGAAACTCAGAGGCACACAGAGGTACATTAAATAATAAAGAAAGCTTTGAAAACATTTCAAGCGGGCAGCGGTCACTTCTGCTGCGTGCTCACGTCCTCAGTGAGGCACAGCTCACCTCTTTCATTCTGTTTTCAGTGTTTAGGAATTGTTGTTTCCTCTTCATTTATATTCAATTCGATTTTAATGTTTGGGAAGCTTTTACTATTTTTGCAAAGCCAAATAAACAAAACACACTCAGGGAAATCCTACTTTTACTCTTTAGCCACTTTTTCATAGCTGTTTTGGTTTTCTACGTTAATTTAGATGTAAATATATGACTGTATCTAGCCATGTATCTCACTTCAGGATGGGGGTTCTGGGGAATTCACTGTTAGAGCTGAGAGTCTTCCCGAGGGTTAAAAGCATTCCAAGTCCTAAGTGAACCCCATCTTTGTTCAGCATTGGCTTTTGGTTCTTTTCTCGTAATTTTCAAAAAGAACTCTCCACATTAGAATTGGTCAGCTCTTTGTTATATGAGTAAAAACTTCAAAGTATTTCCTTCAAGATTATTCACCTTTTTATTTGATATAGTGTTTCTGTCACACAAAAACACATTTTTAAGACAGGCAAGATGACTTAACAGGCCAGGGTGCTTGCCACCAAGCCTGAGAACCTGAACTTAAAATTACATGGTGGAAGGCGAGAACCATCTTTTGAAAAAGTCTTCTGACTTCCACAGGTACTATGGCACATCTGTGTTCACACACATACATATACATGAACATGTGCACACGCACACACATGTACACACACCATATATTAACACAAAATAAAGAAATATAAAAAACAGATAAACGTGAAGACTTTATGTAAAGGCTTGGGGAGACAGCTTTGTCAAGTACATATCTGTTTTGCAAAAATAAGAACCTAAAATTTGATCTCCAGAACCCATGTAAAAAGCCAAAATGATCAAAGAAGGCGTGTTTTTCATCTGGAAGTTGGGGAGGTAGAGGCAGAGGTCTGGCACTCACTGGTCCCCACCTAGCTGGATCAGTGAGTCAGGACCTTGTGGGAGATAAGTAAGGCAGCCTCTGAGGGCTGGGGAAGAGAACCACTAAGCTGTATCTTGAAGTCATTCCTTCCTTTAAAGAAGCTATTTTTCTTAAGTGTTTTAAGCCAAGCCACAGAAAAAGTATAGTGGTATACCTCCTGACATCATTCCCTTATCACGTTAACTTTGGAGGAACTGGCATCTGTAAGGTCCAGTTTTCCTCGCTAAGCCCAGCCCTTTTCATTTGTAGGGTAATTGCTTTCTTTAGATGACAGATGGTATAGACAATAGCGCTGATAGGACTGATCCACAAGGAAGGACATTCTGACGAGACTTAAGTGTGACAATGTCCAGTAGCAGTGGAGATGCTGGAGAGCAGCACAGCAGTCGCCATGGGCACACAACCACACAACCACACAACCACACAACCACAGCCAGCAGCTGACAGGGTACGAGCCATTCTCCTCCTCCCCCAAACAGGAAGCCAGCGTTAGCTCAGAGAGAGGAGCAAGGAGAAGGTACTGGATGCTACAGTGGTATATTATCTGTGTTTTAATAAATAAAGCTTGCCTGAAGATCAGAGGACAAAGCAGCCACACTAGTCAGTCATACAGGCCAGGGAGTGGTGGCACACACCTTTAATCCCAGGAGTTGGGAAACAGAGGCAGACGATCTTTGTGAGTTCAGGACCACCCTGAGCTACACAAGACTGCATCTGTCTAAAAGAAAAACAGAGCTCACACAAAGGTGATCCCAGCAGTTGGGATCACATGCCTTTAATCCCATCACTAGGGAGGTTGAGTCAGGAGCGATATGGCTGGGTGGAGACAGAAATATAAAGGGAAAGAGACAGGAACTCAGTGGAGTGTAGAGGATTTGTGGAGACTGGATCTCGCCCTGTGGGTCTGAAGACTTGCTAGAAGTAAAAGTTCTCTCTAGTGGTTGGCTGCTTTGCTTTTCTGATCTTCAGGTTGAACCCCAATATCTGTCTCTGGGTTTTTATTATTCGTGCTATGGGAAACTTGAGAGAAAAAAGGAAATTACCTACAGAATAGTACAGGGGAAGGCGCAACAAAGGAGACGGCTCCCTGGGAACCCGAAGCCACAGTACAGTACGCCAGGAGGAAGTAGTCTTTGCACTGAGCATGTGAGCCCTGAGACCGCCGGAGAGACTACTGTGTCTGAACGGCGGTCTCAGGGCTATGATGCCAGGTGAGCTTAGGGTGCCCTTACACTTAGTGCCATCTGCAGCGCTGGCACACTTACCACTTCCTCTGAGAACGCGTGTCTTTTCACAAACATCGATACACTTCTGTCAACAGTGTCCTGTAAGATCTTTATCAGGTTTTCCAACATATTTGACCGGACATGGATTAAAATCTGAATAAAAGAACAGACAAGACTGAGCTAGCTGGCTTTCAACGTTGAGATGAGCCTGCACTGACAGACACCAGTTTTTAATATTATTTCCCAATTTATTAGCTCAGATATGCTTTTTGTTTGTTTTTTAAGTGCTCTGTATGCATGTTCACTAGCAAAAATGTATTTTTCTATAGCTAATGGCATTGCTGTAGCTGGGGCCAGTGAGGTGCCTCACAGAGCAGAGGCACCTGCCACACAAGCCTGTGAGTTTGATTCCTCAATTCCACAAAAAGAACAAGAAACAACTTCACAGTTATGCTCTGACCTCTGAACACACACACACACACACACACACACACACGTACACACACACACACACACATACACACACACACTCATACACACACACACACACGTACACACACACATACACACACACACACATACACACACACACATACACACACACACACACATACACACACACACATACATACACACACACACATACATACACACACACACACACACACATACACACACACACACACACACACACACACACACACCACACTTGGTGCCTGGCTGAAATGTAAACCCTGGCAAACGCTAGCTATGTGACTCCTAGCTGCAAACTCTGCTTTTAGCGTCCTCATCTGTTAAATGGGAGCAGTCGTCTAGAGTCCCACATTGTGTGACCGTGAACATGAAGTGAAAAAGCAGCACACAGGACGTACAAGGGCAAACATGCATTCCCTCCACCCTCTTTCCTCTTTCCCCTAGGATCAAGGGCCATGACGATCACACTGTACCCTAAGTCTGGCTGGAGGAAGGCAGCACCTTTCATCTGTTGGTTAACTGCAGCACACACCCTGCGCCAGGTGGAGTGGAAGCTGGCTGAAGTCTCAGAGAAGCCTACCCATCTGCACTGCACCCATTAACAACCTTCAAAACTGGGCGCCATCAGCCTGGCACACCCAGCACACGGAAAAGCAAGGCTCGCTTTCCTCCAATCGTCAGTACTCACCAGGACAGTTTGAGACACGGAGAAAAGGTTTAAAAAAATGAGAGTAACTGAGAAGTCACCGACCAATGTTAGTCAGTGATGTGTTAGTTTCAAAATGTATTTTCCCCAAAACTGGATCTTTCCTTTGCTAGTTACTAAATAATTTTGCTTAACACTAGAAATAATTGATCTAAAGCCACATATTGAATAAATGCATAGCAATTAGTCATGGAAATACACCATATTATATTATATTGATTGACATGCATACATTAAAATAAAAACCTAGTAGTTTTTAAACTAGAAATTATTACACCAACAGGAAGGAACACCTTTACAGCCCAGGTCCCCAGGAGAGGCAGCGTCTCCTCTTCCACACTGAAAACTAGCTGTACTGTTTCGCCCCCTCTTTCGTAACGTCTGCTTGTGGAGTGTTTGCATTTTCTCTGTCAGAACGGAAGGGAAGAAGGTCGTCAACTCACAGTTCTGAAGGTTCAGGGCCTGGGGCTGCCCCGAGCTCAGCCAGGGAAGACGCTCTCCCCTGAGCCACACCATGGCAGGTGGCAATGAATACGCAGAGGTGAAAGCAAGGATCGCACCTCAGAGTGGAAACCAGAGGGCAGATGGTGGGGCCTGACGAGGCTTCTACAACGTTCTTACAACCACCTTCATTCCTCCTGACACACCCCCAGTGACCTCGCAGTGCTGTTCTCTAGGCACTGCCTTTTCCTTCCAACTTCAAAACTGTATTTTCAGAACTATGTCTTACATGTATATAACGAAGCCTGACCACACCCACCTTCCATTCCTCTCTCTTCTCCCACGCCACTCCCTCTGGAACACGCCCTCTTCCCAACACGCCCCTCCTACTTTCGTGTCCTTTTAAAAACTAACCTGAGTTTAATTAGGGTTGCACATGCATGGGTTATTAGCTAGCTCACCGGTGGGTTACAGTGGCTACACTCCTATGGAAAACGACTCTGCATCCTCCAGACACCACTAATTGCCAATAGCTCCTCACACAGGGATGGTGACTCATGCTGGCACTAACTACATCTTAAAGCCTCCTGCCTCACTCTCATCACACCATAGGCTACGTCTCCCACAGATGGGCTCCCGAGAGACAAACACAACCTCAAGGGAAGCAGCTCACCAGGCAGCACTGCCAAGGAGAGGTCGTGGTGCTTCTGAGACTGACAGGCTAGGGTCAGCATGCATGTGTCTAGGTGAGCTCATAGATTACTGAGTGCAGGATGCAGCAAGTGTCCACTGGGAAATGAGAAACCAGCTCCTCTGGGTTACACAGGCAGCAGAAGTAATTCAGATAAAAGGAAAATTAAGTTGGGGGAGGATTAAGTAAGTTCAAGTTCTAATGCACAACAGCAAAAGATTTAAATGTAAGCTATTGATTTTTAAAACACACCAAGAAAAAGAAAACTTTCATCTATTTTACTAATACTGACTCAATAGGCTCTCACTGCCAGCCCATTCTCAGGCTCACAGATTGTGTAAGGATTCCAAGTAGATGACAGCCTTGGAAACGCTGAAGCCTGTGTGTCATTTTACAGCTCGGGCTGGTAAAGGACCTGGAATCTGAAAGCCGCCTCAGGGCGCACACTGCCTCTTCTTCGTCATCCCAGAGTACGAAGAAACGGGCTTATAGTGCGGCACGAGGAATTTAGGTCGGATATCTGCAAGTTTCCCAAGTGGGAATTCTTAAAGAATAAGACTGTTTCATTAAAGTTTCCAAATAATGGATAATTCCTTGACTGTATTCACAAAGAGAATCAAATATAACATTAGTTCAAGGTTCCTTAACCACAACACGCTGATCCTATCCATGTGTTGGCTGGCTGTCCTCCCACATCAGAGAACAGAAGCTGCCTTGCAAGTGCATGAGCCCCACACCGTAGCCACAGTTGTGGACACATTTCTCCCCTCAACGGCTCAAGGTGTGTCTCCACCAAACCATTTTCTCATTTGGAAAAAGGCATTATTATACTTCTGCAACAACTGTGAGAGACAGGCAGAAACAGAAATCTAAACCCACAGAGCGGCAGTGGGCTGTGCCTGTCAGTCCTGTGATTTTGGCAAGACTACTCAGGAGTAGTGAGTCCCAGGCCTGGATGACAGGCACAGCCTTCCTTCCTGTCTTCATGGGTCTCATCTCCCCAGAGAGGTGGGAGACCCAGGCTTTGCAGTCATCTGTCTGTGCTCCAACCCTAGCCCTGGTATCTACTGAACTGTGAGAACTTGGCGAATCTCTCGACCTGGACCATCCCTTTCCACATCAGCACCAATGAGTGATACTGTTCCAGCAGAACTCTACAGAACTAACAAATCACAAAGCGTCTAGTCTGTTACCTTAGCTAAAATTAAATTAAGACCTGGCTATCTCACCCTCTTCAGCGTCCTACCACCAACACCATCTCTACTCCAGGGAAAGTCAACAGTAACTCATACACCGCATCGCTGCCCGCACGCTCACGCGCAGTGCTCCTCCCTAGCACTAGAGCCACACAGCTGGCTTTGCTGCTAGAGGGGGAGTTCCTCCCTAGTGCCAGCAACTCCCCTGTCCCATCTGCAGTCACTCTAGGAGGTGGCTATGCACCTGGACACAAGAGCTGTCCATATCTAACGGGAACCGAGAAGACAAAAGCAGCAGCTGTCCCTTTGATGTCATGGTTGAAGAATGGATCTGAAGTAGCTGGCCCAGGGCGGGGAGCACTTAGTGCTCCATACTAAGTTCAGAACAGGAGTCTGTCTGTGACAAGTCCTAGAGTGGGATCTAGGCAGAGCTCCACGATCACGAGGAAACACAGCAATACTTACAGGTAATAACTTTCTGCTCTGCCCACAGGAATTACCCTCAGATGTACCCCTGTACAGTGCCCCCAGGGCTTTCAGAAGTAGGTAAGCTTTCATGGTACACTTAGAAAACTAAGATCATACATGAAATCTAAAGAATCTGTGAACTGGACCCAAAGACTCAGAGCTAGTAGGGGGCGGCTATAGTCAGCAGTGTGGTCTTTGCATGGAAAGCCTCAGCAAGATTAATCTGTGGAAAGCACAGTCCTTCCAGCTACAACCCATAGCCCCTCCTCCAGAACACGGCCCCACAGCTGACCTGTATTAGTTACTTTTCTTGCCATGTGACAAAATAGCCAATAGAAGCAAATTAAAGGAGGGCGTGGAGGCGGGAAGAGGCCTGGCTGGCTGCACAGGCTGGGGCAGAGCTCCTCCATCTGGCTGGGTCTGGGTGAGCTCGGGCTGGAACCAGAGCAGATGGCGCCTTCAAGGTGTGCCTTACTGACTCACTTCTACTATCACCGAACACACACACACACACACACACACACACACACACACACACACACTTCAGCCCCTGCCCTAGCACGTCTCCTTCACTCTCCTCAGCTGCTCTGCAGCCCGGCTGTGTTGTCTGGTCACTCCCCTGTCTGGAGACACCCACTGCATGGTTGTGAACTAGCTCATGTCACACTAGTGCCATTTCTAGTCTGAAAAGATAACTTTTCAGCTTAAGTCCTGGATTGTTTAGAAGACAAGACCTTGAGCACTTGGGACCTGAAGGGCTCGAGAGACGGCTCAGTGGCTCAGAACACTTGTAGCTTATGCACAGAACCCAGGTTAGGTTCCTAGTGCTCACAGGCAGTTCACAAGCACCCATAACCCCAGTTCTAGGGGATCCGACATCTTCTGACCTCCACAGGCACAGGGTGTGCACATGGCGCACAGATATTCATACAGACAAAACACTGAACCTCTGGAATTGTGAGGCACCCCAATGAAATGTTTTGTTTTATTAGAGTTGTATGGTCATGGTGTCTCTTTACAGCAATAGAAACCTAAGAAACCTAAGACAGCACATACACCGGCTTCTCAGTCACAGGCACACCACAAATCAGCTGCTGCAGATGGGATGCAGTCAGCACGCAGACTTCACCACGGCCTGGGAGAGTCTGGTCAGCCCAACCACCCCTCTTCAAACCCACAGCCTTCTCACTTGTGCCTGCCACACAGCCGAGCAGACCCAGCACACCACCATCAATAAACTCCCAGAAGCCTGTGGTGATGACTTCTCTCACAGGAGTGGCTCTTCCCTGCTCTCAGGCTTAGTAAATGACTTCTTCTCAACTCAATGCCAACGCTGGACAATTAGGCCATTGCACACAGACAAAAACAGCAAGCATTTTACCACATTCCAACTCATTTAAAGTACAAGGCAATCACTTACATTTAAGTTAGCACAGGTTATACTCTCTGGATTCATGATTTGAGAAAAAATGGACATGGCTTTTTCCACCTGGTTCTGGAAGGAAAAACAAAAGTCATAACCCTAGAGCATGCAGCCATCACTCCATTCTCCTACATATTACTTAGAGAAAGCAGGATGCTCCCAGGCACAGGGCCTCAGAGTTTTAAATCAACAATGGGATTCTTTAAAACACAAACTTAAACAAACTATATAAAGGGTTTTACCTAGTGGCATGGTATCCTATGCTTTAGCAATCTCTCTGAGTCTAGTTTTTGAGAGGTATTAAACTGGCACCTTTCCTTCTCCTCTTGGAACCGACTTTGAGGAAAAATGACAATGAGAAGAAACAGAGAGCGAACCTCATCCTGGCATAATCAGTGAAGCCTCAAACCCAACAAGACATGGGTATTGTCAGATTCTTGGAGATGGAGCCCTGCAAGGACCTACACATTACAGGAAGGGGCTATACATTCTAGGTTCTAGGAGGTTCTCTATCAGTCCAGCCTAGAGTCCGTGACCTAAGTGCTGGCCTGCAGAGATTGGAGTTGAGGCAAGGGGCAGACTGGGGCCCCTGGGGAGGCACAGGTGAGTGGGGAGGATGTCCATGACAATGCTGTATTTGCAGGAGGCAGAAAGGCTCTTTGGTAGTGACAGAGAAGAGGCCGCATCCCAAGATCCTGTTGCTACAGATCACGAGAAACAAGTGTGGGCATCCGTACACAGGACTGCGGTTACAACAGGGACCAAGGAAAGCCTGTCCAGCTGGACTGGGGCTCTGGTGCTTCTGTCTCTCTGACTTAAATTTACTGTCAGTGGTGTTCGAAAAGAAATTTATATTTTTGAGGGATGAGTAATCAAAAGGAATCAGCATAAGAACTGCGTGAAGAGAGTTTTTTAAAAAAAAATAAAAGAGAAAAGGGACACAATGAAAGAAAACTGAGAGAATACTTAGAGAAAACGGCAGTAGAACAGCGTGTTCATGAGTACGGAGGCTAAAAGTGAGAATGATGAACAAGATCACATCAATCAGCCACAGAAATGGAACCAGGCAGAGTTCTCCACAGCAGTGCAGCAAGACATATAACAAAAGACCAAAGCTCAAAAACAAACAAACAAACAAAAACCCTCAAGAAAAGCAAGCGCTGTCTCAAAATGTTAACTCTGGCAAGACTGTAGGGTAAGTACAAAAATAAATGTCTTAACACGTCAAGAACTCAGGTGAAGTGTTTGTTGGAAGAACTTATCGGAAGGCACATCGTAGGCAAAGGAGAGCACACACATGGGAGCAAGCTGTAGCAGTGAACAACAGACCGAGACGTCAAGGACCACAACTGTGCAGAATATGGCTACAGGACAGTGAGTGTGCTATCCAAATGGAAAGGAAGGCCTTAACTACACAAAAGGAAAACAAGAGCAGGAGAAATTCAAACTAGAGTGTTCATTTCCTCTCCTTTATTTCCTATTTAAAGCCAATAAATTGAGTATATTTAAGAGAAAAGCAAGCAACATAAGAGGTAGCATAGCAATTTAAATTCCATGACAGAGATGAACAAAGAGGAAGAAAGAGAAAACCCATTAACTTCACTACTGTCAAAGGAATTAGATTGAGGAAAGTCAGTAGTAACATGGTTTTGAAGTAACCAGTAGGAAGGACACATGGACAAGGAATGACCTGCAGAGCCACCTTTCCATCCAGTTCTCCAAAGTTCACAATAAAAGATAAATTCCCAATCCAATTTTTCAGGCCTCTAGTGCAGATAGCTAATAAGGAAATACAGGGACACAAGAAGAGAAAGCCCCCCCTACACACACCTTTTGGTTCCTGTTTATCTCGCTGGCTGACACCCAGTGTCTACAAACCGAGCAAGTCACCTGCAGCAAAACACTGCATTCCCCTTTCAGACACACAGCACGAAAGTCTCTGTCCTTCAAGCACTTGTCCTTCTGCTTCATTCATAATTTTGCCAACTTGGCTGTAAAAGTAGCCAGTACAGCAGTAGTAGAAACCACTGAAAACTACCACATGCCATATATTAAACGCTAAAAATACAAAGCATCCCAAATAAAATTCCACGTTAGATCATTCATGTCCTATGAATATAAACAGACTAAGAAAGACTAACGTCATATTATAAATGCAAGTTGCGGTTCTGCAGCGTATAAAAGAAATTCCTAAACCATAACAATTCAGAGAGACTTCAAATAAGAAGACTAAAAAGGCATTAGTACACAAGTGCAAACGTGATAAAAATACACAGACAACAAAAACAAAGGCAGTGATGCTATTAGCCGAGGCTGAAGTCGGTAACATGATCACTATAACCTAGGAGGGTCCTGGGCACCGCTCAGCTGAGAGATTCACAAAGGTGACAGCAGGGTTTATCTGTGCTCTGAAGGGATGACTTATGCTTCAGTATAGCCAAATTACAAGAGCTACAAAAAGACTGGGGACATGTGTCTCTGATGAGACTTCGGTCCACGTCAGCCCCTGGCAGAGCAGGAAGACATGAAACAGCTTCCTTGACAGACAGGAAAGCTGATCATGCATAGTTCATGTCTGGTAGGAGTGCATCCCCCTAAGCCTTCCCCAGCACTAAGGAAACGATCACCCTTCAGTTCTAAGCACCTATTCTAACTAGTTTTAAGTAAGAACTCTTTAGCCTTGCTTTGCTAGTTGGGCAATAACCTAGCTTGGCTAGAATTTCCTATCATAAGACTTTCATTTGCCACACAGCAAATGTGTGAAGTATTTCGTATCTTTTGGGCCTTCTAAGAGGGAATCTCAGAGGTGGGGCTCTTTAAGATAGCAGGCATTCCAGCCCTGTGTCCTTCACTAAGATCAACCTCAGAATTTCACCATTTTGTTCTGGGTCGTGGTTGCTTCATTTATCAATAAGGGAACGCGGGACTAAGGAAATAGTAAAGTTTTAACAAATACTAGTAGATGGTCTAAGTAGCAAGGATTGACTTGGGAGTTCTTACTAACATAAAAATGCTCTCTGACTACTAGATGATCTAACTAGTAAGGGCTGACTCGGGAGTTCTTACTGATGTAAAAACACTCTCTGAGAATGCTACACAGGAAGCATGTACCATCGTTACTATAACAAGGATATTTCTCTCAAACTGCAGCTTCCTTCTTTGATTCTCCACAAGATCTTGGCCTACGCACTCTAAATAGAAATGCATGCTGGGTCTTTGGCCACAAGTAAAAACGTTCTTTGCAGCAAATTACTGTGGCAACGAAGGCATTTTTTCATTATGGGATGTCTTTATAATACAGTTAGGAGGGAAAAATGAAAAACAAGAACAAATGAAAGCAGTAGCGTCCTGCCCACTTCTGCGTCACTTACGTCTCCTCTGCCCCAAGGCCTTACCTGGTTCAGAGCTAATGCCACTGCAAAACAGGATGCTCTCCTGGAGATGACATCTCCCTTAAGTAAGGCTTCTTCTCTTAAAGTTGTACAAATTTTAAAAGACTCCGGGCTATTCTGTGAGAAGATGGGATTGCTCAGTCAACATCAGGAACCTTCAAGTGTAATGATTATCAGAGCTTAGTGTCTCGGATTTCCTTCTGTAAGAATTTCCCACAGCCCATCTGAAGTCACTCAACAGACATGACAATGTGGACTGGGGAAAGAGCAAGAGCACACCAATTGGCTATCCAACATCCTTGACAGCACGCATACAATAACACGGACTGAGCAGGTTGTACTGTGGAATATATGTGTAAATACATGCACATATATGCATGTAACAGCAATTGATGAAAGAAAGTCACGTATGTGAAAGGGAGCAAGGAGGGGCATATGGGGAGGGTTTGGGGGGAGAAAATGAAGAAGAAACAATATAATTTCAAAAACAAAAAAAATTAAGCTATGCAGAGGCCATCCGCAACAGACTAGACTATTTATATGGTAGCAGCTCAACTCTAAACTAATTTTATTGTTCAGCTTGCCTATTTCCATCGTAAGGCAGTTTTCACTCGTAAGCAGGCATCTTTGCATGCCAGCAGGCAAGTTTCTAGGCCTAAGCCCCACAATGGGGCCAGCACTGTAACAGCAGTAACACAGGGGACTCTCCTTTGGAGAAGTTTCAGCTTGAAAGTCTCCAGGTAAGTCAAATACTTGAAAACAGTAACACTAATATAATGTAACGTATAGAAGAATCCCATGAAAACAGAGACTTAAAAAAAAAAACTCCAAGGGGGCTGAAGGGATGGCCCTGCAGTCAGCAGCACTGGTTGCTCTTGCAGAGGACCTGAGTTCAGTTCCCAGCTCCCACACAACCGTCTGTAACTCTAGTCCACGTGACCTGAGTCCCTCTTCTGACCTCTGCCAGCACCAGGAACACATGTGGTGCACATACTTACATACACATAAAATAAAATACATCTAAACAAGAAAATGTATTTTTAAATCCAAGAAAGTGATGCCCTAATCAGTCAGACAGCAATGTAAACCCAGTCCCCGCCTCTGAGCTGCCACAGGTGGATGGGTTCACAATGGCAGCAGCAGCCTGACATTTGTGTGTCTGTGAAGACAGACCCACCACTCAATCCTCTCAACAAAGTCTGAATTTTACGTGGGGCAGTTGCCAGGGGTGACTGGGAACCTCAGCAGCTCCTTTTCCAGACTTGTCTCCACTTGATAAAACAAGTTACTCTTGGATACAACACAGGAAGAAAGATCTTCTGGCCCTTCTTAAGAAGCAGAACTAAATTCTCTATACTTCAGCATGCACCCAGTGAAGCAAGCCTGAGCAGGAATCACCACTGGGAATGACCCACATTCTATTGCCGGGTGATTTAAAAGTATTATCGCATCCTTAAGTCCGCAAACAGAGCCCTTGGGCCAACTCTAACCTGCAGCTGAAAGTGGTGTAAAGGTTTATAACGGCTTGGAAAAACAAAAGTCAGAGGTAGAGGGCTCAAGAGATGGCTGAGTGGTTGAGAGTGCCGGCTGCTCTTGTAGGACCGGGGTTCAATTCCCAGCACCCATGATGGCTTATAACTATCCATGAGATCAGAACCCTCTTCTGGCTTCCACGGGCACCAGGCATGCATGTGGTGCACAGACACGGGCAAAGCACTCATACACATAAAATAACAGTAATCATAAAAAAAGAATACATGACAGCCATCGTATGTGGAGTCCGCCCGGAAGGAGGAGGGGGCAACGGTGAAGGTGATCTGGTGTAGTGTAACCTACGAGGGACTCTGGAGCTCAGCAGAAACTTGTCTCTAGCTTTCATGAGCCTCAAGCTTGCCAAGGAGGGGCGAAAGATAATCGCTTTTCCCATGGTCAAAATATCTGACAGGGCTAACTTGAGTTTTCTCAAAATGGATACATTTAAAATCAAACTATTTGTACCAGATGGAAAACAGACTTCAAAGTAACTGAAGAAAGAAAGAAAGAAAGAAAGAGAGAGAGAGAGAGAAAGAGAGAGAGAGAAAGAAAGAAAGAAAGGAAAGGAGAGAGAAAGGGAGAGAGGAAAGGAGGGAAGGAAGGCAAAAAATCCTCTCTTAGATACTACTCAATTCCCAATGCCCTGAGCACTAAGGGAAATAGTCTTTTTTCATTTTTTTCATTTTAAAGATTTATTTATTTATTAGGTATGCAGTGTTCTGTCTGCATGTATGCCTGAATGCCGGAAGAGGGCATCATATCTCATTACAGATGGCTGTGAGCCACCACGTTGTTGCTAGGAATTGAACTTTGGACCTTTGGAAGATCAGGCAATGCTCTTAACCACTGAGCCATCTCTCCAGCCGCAAGGGAAATAGTCTTACCAGTTTGTAGCAAACTGCAAACGCAAGGATGTAGGTGTCTCTGCTGAACTTCACATCTTGATTTTTCATTTCAATCAATACTTCCAGGGCACCTGCCGAGTGAACAGTGGCCAGCAGGGTTAAAGGAACCTATGGGCAGTTCCCAAAATTCTAATCAGTTCAGCATCACCTACCAAAAAGCAGATTTCAGCATGATCAAAGCCGTTCCTTGAAGTTAAGTGGCAATTATCTAAATGTTAAACTAAATCATCACGTCGTGCAAGAAAAACACATAGGAAACCTGCTAAGGTTTTAGGTAATCTGAGGTGACTCATTTCCATCATATGCAATTTGATGTTATAAATTTAAGGAGCAAGGTCACAGTAGGGTTCCTCAGCAGAAATCTAAGGGTCACTTCTATGGTCCTTCCCACCCCAGCTGCTTGCCCAATAGTTTTCCACAACCACAGACTGCAGTACTTACTTTCATATTTGCCTTTAGTAAATAACATATCCATCAAAATATTGAATGATGTGGAGTCCAGGAAGAAGCCTCGTAAATGCTAGTGAAGAAAAAGGTAGAATTTGGTCAGAAGTTAAACTATTAAGGGGGTGCCACATACTGTAGCCCTTTTAGAGACTAGGACTCATTAGGTAGCATTGGCTATCCTAGAACTCACTGTGCAGACCACAGGACGGCCTCACAGAGGTCCACCTACCTCTGCCTCCCTTGTGCTGGGATTAAAGGTGCGAACCACGATGCAGGGCCTGTCCCTTTACAGCAGCGGTTCTGAACCTCCCTAAGGCTGCAACCCTTTAATACAGTTCCTCATGTTGTGGTGATTTCCCCAATCGTAAAGTTATTTCATTGTTACTTCGTGACTGTAATTTTGCTGCTGTTATGAACTGTAATGAAAATACTGGTATTTTCTGATGGTCTTAGGTGACCCCTGTAAAAGGGTGGTTGGACCACCAGAGTTACGACATGGGTTGAGAATCTCTGCTCTCCGGGTTTTTATTTAGTGACTTCCTGAACTCCCTGTTAATCTGGTATACAAAGGATATTTTAAAGCTTCACTTTTAAACACTGCCATAGCTTTGGGGATGGATACACTGGACAGGAAGCAAGAGAGCTCCGTTTCATGAGCAGCGTGGAATCAGGAGGGTGGCGTCCAATGGCAGCAGCAAGCTGACTTGGAATGAAGGCGAGCATGTCTCACGGAACAACAGCTGCCACACGGAACACAGGGCAGCTCACTCTGGCAACCACCTGCTAAAACAGTGCCTCTCAACCTTGTTCTGGACTTTCACTTAGTTTAATAGACAAAAACATCTGTGTACTGATCTCATTATATTCGGTTTTAAATACATTAGCAGAAGAGCTAAGTCGGGGAACACGTATTATGTACACAGAAACTTAAGAGCTATTCTCTTCCTAATTTTTAGAGACTATATTGTTACCGTGACCACCATGTTTCACAACTGTTCAACTCTTTTACATCGATTGTATAACCTTTGACCACTACCTCTCTTTCGACATCTTCCCAGCACTTTGAGTGCCATACTGTGACATGATGTTTAGATGTCAGTGAGTGCTTTTCTCCTTTGCTCTTCCTACCTGCTGTAGATCCTAGATGCTGAGAATAAGGAATGGGCAACAAGGCAGCAAGGCCTGCTCTAAGTGCTGGGTGTTGGTCTAGAGAGCTGAGGGACAAGTCAGGAAGAAGGCGAACAAGGGAGTAAGAGAAATGAGAAAAACAGCCACCATCTCCGTCATCACTGGGGGCTGTGGAGAGCAAGGACAGTGGAGGGACAGCACACACTCACAGAAGCGAGGTTGCCCTTAGTCCTGATTCAGGCCACTCCACCTCTACACGTGGGATTCCATATAGCAGGCTTAACAATTACCTACAATGTGTTTACGCTGGCACAATAATGACTTTGACTTATAACAATAGAATGTTTTATTTTCTTTTAAGTGTAACATTAAAATATTTACTTAAAATAATAAAACACAAACTAAATGAAAAAGTGAGGCTTTAATATTTCTAACCCTAAAGATACCGCTTATCTTCCAGATTTTAAGACATACATACAAGCATGTAATCATGTGTATGTGTGGGTATGGGTGCACACATGCCAATGCATGTGAAAGCCAGAGAGCATCCTTGGACACCAGTTTTTAGTTACTGTTTACCCCCTTACTCTTTTTAAGGCAGAGTCTCTCGTTGACTTCAGAAAAGTTTCTGCATTCAATAAACCCCTCCGCCGATACAATAATCCAAATCAGACCAAATCAAACCAAATTAGAAAAAGCCCAGGTTTAATGAATACCAACGCTCCTGGATGGCTTTCCAGTTCTCGGAGAGGAGCCGGGGAAGGAAGACGGGAAAACCATGTGCTTGTTCTCTGGGATGCTGTAGGAATTCCTACTGTCAGTAGCCTATTTAAGTTATCTGCCCACTTGGGCATGGCCTCTTATACTATTTATGCCGATGTAAAGTGCAGTCTACCCCTAAATAAATAATCCTCCATTATACTCAATTCTGAGCTAGTGTGGGATTTCTTTTAAGCATCCGTCTTCATCTGGCGTTCTTCACTGGGGACTGTTTAAATACCCTGTGGGAGTGGTCTTGAGCATCTCTGGGGAGGGGTCATCGTTTGATGGGCTTTCTCAGGGGCAGAGTCTGGACTGAGACAACTCCTAGGGGAGGGGGCTTGGGATGTAACTTCCACCTGAACATTCAGACTCTTCGGATATATGGATTCCAGGGGCTGGGTTGAGCTTTTAACCCAAACAGCTTCTAACTTATAAGTGGGTCAGGCCGGTTGGCCAATGAACCCCAAGAATCCACAAGTCTCTGCTGCCCTGGAGTTGTGATTATAAGTATACGCTGCCATGATTGGCTTTTTAAAAATATGGGTTCTGGGGAGCAAACTCAGATTCCTTTCAAGCACTTTATCCACTGAGTATTCCCCAGGCCCTGTATGTGCTTCTTTTTTTTTTTTCAAAGTAGAAGACAAGATCAAATGTTGAAACTGTTCTTAAACTACCTTTCCTCTACTTAAATTCATTATGACCACCTTCCTAATGCATGGTGTTTTTAAAGAAGGGTAACCCTAATGCTAGGCATGGTGGTACATGTCTATAATCACACCCTCCGGAGGCTGAGGCAGGAGATTGCAAGCTTGAGGACAGCCTGGGTTACTTGTCTGAAATAAAACGGTCAAGCCTAGGGAAGTTCCATCAGTACAGAACAAATAAGTGAGAAAGAGTAGGAAGCAAGGCCAAATCATTGCGCTCTGGAGTTCCTAAATGTACTAATCGCACATGGTGGACAACGGCCCAAACAAAAGGTCTCTTGTCATGGAAGAATTTATAATGCCTCTAATGCAGTTTCACCTTCTGGGAGATAGAAATAATAATCATACCCGTGACAGAGCTGTTGTGGAAATAATAATTATATAACAACAACAATAATTGTGGGAGAAGGCAGAAGATACAGTAAATATTCAGTAAGTAACTAAAACATGTTTTTACAATTTATTTATTATTACCACTTGTATGTGCCACGGTGCTTGCATGGAAGTCGGACGACAACCGTGTAGGCCTGGTTCTCCCCTTCCACATTTGCATGGATCCACAGATTGAACTAAGGTTGCTGGGCTTGCATGGAAATTGCCTTTATCCACTGAATTATCTTACTGATGTGCAAAATTATGATGTGTTTTAGAAAAAGAAACCAGAATATATAAAAACATTTTAAAACTTGACCAGCTATAAATACAGTCTACAATCAAAACAAACAAACAAACAAACAAACAAAAAAAACCAAGAGAGAGAGTGCAGGGGCAGGATATGAAATCAGTGGCTGGTCGGAAACTATTCACCTCTGAACTCCAGAGACAGGATACATGCCCTAGGGCAGCACACACCCAAAGTACATATACAACAGGCCTCTGTTTTATGTTATGCCTCTGAAGACACATGTAAGTCTCCTTGTGAGTCAACTCTACGGAAACATTTCAAACGCAGAGAGCTTATTTATTCAGCCCAATGACCTTGAAATAATATAAAATAACAAATAAACCCACAAATAAAATGCCATAAAAAATATCTTTTGTAAGAGCAACCAAGAACACAAGATCAAATTGGCAGGAGAAGGAACTGGAAAATACTAACCTTATCTTTTATGAGCTCCACTGCAGAGTCCTCAAGATCCAGCTCGTAGCACAACCTCATGAAAACTGGTCCAAACTTATATTCTCCCACAGTGAAGTTTCTGTTCTCTGCATGGTACCTGGTGATCAAGATGATTCTATGAGCAAAGATAGGGTATAGCAAGAACAGACACAGGAATCGCAGAGACCTCAACTAGCAAGTAGAAGCCCCAAATTTGGATCTCAGCAGCCATGTAAAAGTCAGGCTTAGTAGCATGCACCTGGAACTCCAATGTGGGGGCTGGAGACAGGAGGATTCTCAACGCTTACTGGACAGCCAGTGTAGCTAATCACAGAGCTCCAGGTTCAGTGAAACCTAGTCTCAAAAAACAAGGTTTAGGGCAACCGAAGAACATAGTTGATTGAGACCTCTACCCATGTGTATTCACCTTCACATGCACATGTACACATACATGAACATATATACATACCCCACACATACCAGACACACCCACAAGGACAGACACAAACCACAGTGTGCGCTCTACTAGGTGCTGGGAACACAATAAAGAATAAGGAACTCCCAATTCGGGAGAAACAGGGATTTGAATAAAATTAGGGGTTCCAGAGTTTAACACACTGGGCATTGAAACAAAAGAGTTTTGTTAGAGGCCAAAATACTCTGAGAATTAAAAGGAGTAAAACACACACTGTAATCATCCCTTTAATTACCTGCTGGGCCAAGAACGCGTATAATGTTACAGAACAGCAGGGTCTCCTTAGGATGGGTACAGAACAAAGGAAGGGCACTGGGAGTGTCCTGTGCTTCTTCCAGAGGTGGCTTCATGACCATATAGGGTGTCACACAACCAACAGGCACACTGTAACTTACATCAACCTCTGCTTTTCTAAATTCAGATAAGGGCCTACATGATCTATGGTCACCTAGGTTAAAAAAAAATAAATGTACTTTGAAATCTTAAGTCCTGGGAGAAGGCTAATTTTAATGGCAGTGATATCTTACTATGCTGCGTAAGTTCTATAGGTGGCCAGTCAGTCCTCTGAAACTGCTGCTTCGGGCACTTCAGATGACGACCTGGTGAGCACCAGATGACCACACACATGTCAGATTTCTGTGATATAAATGACTTTAAAGTATGAGCGGGAAAGTTGACTTTACTAAAACCTTTTCACCTTCTGCTGAAACAGCAGAAGGAAGCTGGAGTGGCATTGGGCTGGAGTGTTGTAAATTCACACTGCCAAATACGGTGACGGTGAACACGTGACCTGCTTCATCACAAGGCTTGAGGACTGAGTTATGAAGGACAAGAGAGTGTGGTGATTAACGACTTCTGTCTGCTTCTGCGCGCTGGCTCCAGTTCAGCTCTTCTACTTAAAAACCATGTAACTGTAAGAAAATCAGTTCATCACTCGGAGCATCAGTTCCTCATGTGTGAAGTGAAGATAAGGACTCAAGAAGTCTGAAGAGAACTGGGTAAATTTTCCTTGGCATGCGGCAATTCTTTAACGCTAGGTAATATGAAACACGAGGCATCTTCAAATCTATAAATGTCAGTAAATGAGGAACTAGTGCTAGATTAAAAACAGAAAGCAAAAGTTTCCTTGAATTGACATCTACACTCAAAAGGAAGTTAATGCCTATAAAAGGGAGGCTCTAGGGCTTAGGATCAGGGTCTGGAGAAGTGGGTGTCTGAGGCGCCATGTCGGGCCGGGAAGGTGGCAAAAAGAAGCCCCTGAAACAGCCCAAGAAGCAGGCCGAGGAAATGGACGAGGAAGACACGGCTTTCAAGCAGAAACAAAAAGAGGAGCAGAAGAAAGTGGAGGAGCTAAAAGCCAAGGCCGCGGGGAAGGGACCCCTGGCCACAGGTGGAATTAAGAAATTTGGCAAAAAGTCAGCTGTTCCTCATATCTGAGATGATGGTGACCCTCTTCCATTCCTATTTAAACACCTGGATTCCCTGCCATAGCATCTTTGCCATCTACAGCTAGAATGAAGTGTTATCCTGGAAGCCTGTTAAACATCTGGATTCCCTACTATAACATCATTGCCACCTATAGTTAGAATGAAGTGTTATCCTGGAGCCTGTTGTACATTGTAATAAACTTTTGTAAAAAAAAAAAATAATAAAATAAATAATACAAATGACAAAAAAGAAAAAAAAAAGGAGGCTCTAAAGCTCCCTGTAACCTAACCAGCGCTGGAGCGAGATTGTGAGGGTCCCACTTGTGGCACCATCAAGGTGAGCGTCTGTCTCAGCTCATGACCTCCTTTCCTAGGGGCGGGCTGCGAGTCCCAGGACGAGCAGAAGCAGGTTGGTTAGACCACAGAGGCACCAACCCGTCCAGCCGTTCACCGAAGTGACAAAGAAGAACAACTGGGTCGTGTCAGGAGTGTGAGTGAAGAGCTCAGAGTCATGCTTCGATGTGTGTGATGAACGTGAAAGTAGAGGGATCAGAATTTTTATCCTGTTGTGTTGTTAGTCTTAGAGATATCTTCTGGCTTTAGGGCAGTAACAGGAAAAATAAGAGAATAGCCAGAGTCAAATGACAATGTAGCATTAGTTTTGCTGGCACAGCCTGAAGGTTTATTGGTAGATGTGTCATAGTTTAAACTCAGTTTGTTTCTCCAGGGTTTGTGTATTGCAAGTTTATTCCCCTGTGTAAAATCTAATGGGATATCCTTAGAGCAACTGAGGAAATTGCTCTCAGAAAGGATTAGGTATATCTCACATGACTCCCAACCCCCATGTTCTAGAGGAGTTATATAAAGCCCGAGTCTGGTCCTACCCATTTATGACTTCCTGTATTGAGACAGCACTGACCAGCACAGTGTGGCACAGCCAAAGACCATCAGTAGAACTTAGCTGATGCCCTCGAATGTCCGAAACTGTGAATCAAATCAATCTCCTTTTTCCCTATGCAGATTATCCTGGGCATTTTGTTACAGTAATGACAAACTAATATACTCTTTGACCCAAAACACAAAGAGTACGTAAGCTTTCTAGAGCTACTCATCGTGACATTAGTTGTGCTGAGGAAAAACTAGAAATAATTTAGATGTCTGATAACAGGGCGCAGTTGATTAAAATACCTAATATATGGTGGAATGTTGTTAGAGAGGAAGGAGTCTCGGTTGAGGAAATGCCTCCATGAGATCCAGCTGTAAGGTATTTTCTCAATTAGTGATCAATGGGGGAGGGCACAGCCCACGGTGAGTGGTGCCATCCCTGGACTAGTGGACTGAGAAGACCATGGGAAGCAAGTCAGCAGGCAGTGACCCACCATGGCTGCTGCATCAGGCCCTGCCTCCAGGATCTTGTTGTCCTGTCTGAGCTCCCATCCTGACTCCCTTCAATAATGAACAGCGATACGGAAGCGTAAGCCAAATAAACCCTTGCTTTTTGGTGATAATGTTTTGCTGCAGCAACAGGATTCGGACTAAGATAAATTCTGTACTGTCACTAAAATACGGCTCCTTGATATATAAATAAGAATAAAGGGGCTGGAGAGATGGCTCAGAGGTTAAGAGCACTACCTGCTCTTCCAGAGGTCCTGAGTTCAATTCCCAGCAACCACATGGTGGCTCACAACCATCTGTAATGAGGTCTGGTGCCCTCTTCTGGCCTTCAGGCATACATGCAGATAGAATATTGTATACATAATAAATAAATATTTAAAAAAAAGAATAAAGTAGACTATATTAATGTAGAGAATACTGTTTCTATATAGTACTAACTGGAACTAGAAGGAGCCGAGTGTGGTGATGCATGCCTACAATCTCAGCACTCAGGAAACCAAGGCAAGAGACCTGTGCATTCAAGGCCGGTCCAGCCTGAGCTACAAAGCAAAACCTTGTCTCAAAAACTAACCGACAAATAAGCAAAAACATCCACGCTATATAAAAGAAAACCTACTAAAACTATGAAATATTTGCATAAAAATTTGTGAAAAATATGTAAATTTTTGCAAGCGGGCTTTAAAGATAATTTTCATCATTTTTATCCCTCCCCACATGAACCTGCTGTCCCAGCTATCCAGGACTGGGGTCCCTTTCCCTACATCCAACTTTGGTATGACCAGACAAATCCCACTGGGCGGGAGAAGCTGAGCTGTCTGTGCTGCTGCTGCAAGGTCTGGCAGCTTCCAGTTTTGTGTGGGTTTGTGTGGCTCACACCAGGCTAAGGAACAGTGAGGCACTAGAGAGAGAAGGGTCAGGACACACGGATGAGCACAGAAACATCAGAAATTCAAGGAAGATCTTCTTGGACCTGCTAACCTGTGGGTCGAGAACCTTTGTGGGGGTCAAATGATCTTTTCACCATTGAAAAACAGATAGTTATCATAATTCAAAACAGTAGAAAATTATAGTTATGAAGTAGTAACAAAAGTAATTTTACGGTTGGGGGTCACCACACCATGAGGAACTATATCAAAGGGTCACAGCATTAGGAAGGTTGAGGAACACTGGCTTAGTGCTTCCTTCCCTCTCAACTAATACCAAAGAAAAAAGACAGGCAGAAAGGAGGGCAAGGAGGCCACTGGTACTAGGGAAAGAGGAACAGACTTCGTATCCTAGCCAGGAAAAGAGGCTCCAAAATACCCGCCCTGTGTGACAGGGGCTATCAGAGGAGCACTGGGGTGTGCTGAGGAGCTAAGGGATGGTAATTGGAGGGACCGGCCAGTCTGTGGGCAGGGTATGAGGTATGAGCTGCTTTCCTACACTTGGTCCCTTCAACATCCGAGGTTGAAGGCAGGCAGCAGGACAAGATGTCTGGAAGTCATCTGCGTAGAGGGGACAGTGTACGTCTTGAGAGTGGACGCGACTACTCTAGGAAGGGTGGGGAGGGAAGCGATGAAGGCTGCAGGGCCTCAGGGACGCCTCACCTGTAAATGACACTCTTCACCAGTTCCGCATCTTCCCGGGACTGGCACAAGTGGAGCACGGTTTTCAGTTCTTCCTTCAGGATGAGCTTGTTCTGGGTCAGTTTCTCCTCCAAGTTTCTGAAATAGACTGCTGAAAGAAAGCACAAAGCGACCACTCAGGATAGGTGGGACTGTGAGGAGGCTGGCCTCAGGGAGAAGCCCAAGCACAGCTCACTGCAAACAGGTACTGAGGGACCTCTCATGGGGCGGCGTCCCTCACTGGCCATCACCTCCAGAGGAGTGGATGCTGAAGACAGTCTAAAAGGCACATTTGTGCCATAGGGAATTCAGGGCCACAGTCCACCCCAGGCTCTGGAAATCACAAACTGAGGAGGGTAGGAGTGCCTTTGGCATGCTTTAGGTGACACGCAGGCACACAGAAGTTTAACAACTATTACTGCAGTCCTAATAAAAACCACAGGTGACTCATGAGAAGAGGAGAACGTGCAGCCAGACACTCAGACCATCAATGAGCAGGATCAAGAAGAGAAGTAAAAGGAAATGCAAATCCATCATGGATTTAGACAGTAGTCAGACCATGTAACTCAGAAATATTTTGGGTTCTTGCAATTTGTTTAGCTTTTCCTCTCTCAACCCCATGGCCTGTCTTTACTGTAACCAGACTACCATAGGATGGGCAGAGGGGAAAAAAACAAAACCAAACCAGTTCTCTAACCAATAGTGCTCTTTAGGGACAGAATCATTGTCAGGCCATCACTATTTTGGTCCCTTCTTTGCACTGATGGGAACCTCCAGAGTTGCGCTTCTATGGAACAAACACCAAAGGGAGTATGGCTTCTGTGGATTACTTTCCTCAATACTGTTGAGAAACACAGCGCAGGAGACAACAGACAGGGCTATTCTCATTCTAGAGTTCCATGAGTATCTCAGGATTGATTACAAGTCCAGAGCTTTGAATGAAAGCTGCTGAAGTAGCCGCACAATGTCCATTTGCAATGCAAGGACTCGAGTCAAGTCACACCGCTCTTAGTGTACAGGAAAGACCAATGTGGTTTAGGACCAAGGCGCTGGGTCTTTCGATCTTTCTTTTCAGAACCAGGAGATTGTTTTACAGATGCAAGGACCTGAGCAGATCTATGTCCTTCCACTTATATGCTCTGTGAATACCCTTGTCTGTGAGACATCATTCCTCAGGCACAAATAGAGGACTGTGACACCTACAGCTCACGGGATTACATGAGGGTATATACAGAAAGCATCTGGCACAGGGTCCACCGCACCATAACTGTTGGTAAGCAATGGCATTAGCAACCTAATTTTCACCCTATGCCTGTTTGATCTAAACAATGCAACTTTAGAGATTTCTAAGCAATTTTTATCTAAAAGATTTCAAAGCAATGTTTTGCATTCTGTACCTCTTAATTGTTAAGAAACACTGTGAACTTAAAAAATGTAAATTGGACTTGAAAAGTTTGGCTTTGAAGTATTACCATATAATCACAATGAGAGCAATATGTCTGTCACACAAAGTTAATGGCTCCTCCCACAGAGCTGAAAGTCTACCCAGGAAGACAGGTTATTGGTATACAAAGCATAGGAGCAATACAAACACAGTAAGACGACTTTGACTTTGACATCTGTTGGAATTCCAAGCAGCAGGACAGATGAAAGTTCATGGAGGTGAAGGAATGTCAATGAACTCTGTTATGGAAATGTCTGTACAAAGTGTGGCATGGAAAAGGATGCCATTGTGGGCTCCTAAAACTGCTGAAACAGTGTGAGGGTTACATAACCATTGGTCTGACAGTGGAGTAGACAGGCACTGACTTTTGGATTGCATATCAGAACATGCTCACAGCAGTCACAGCTTTATGAAGACCACGGCAATTAGACATGACAAGCAGCCCATAGCAGGGAGTTCTTCCTAACCACAAATATCATGTAATTAAAAAACACCCAAGACAAAAAGGAAAGTTGGGGGACTGGAGATGGCAGAGCAGTTAAGAGCACTGGTTGCTCTTGCAGAGGACTCAGGCTCAGTGCCCAGGATCTACATGACAGTTAAAAAGAACCTGTAACGTCACTTTGGAGGGTTCAACACCCTCTTCTGGTGTCTGCGAGCACTGCACACACATGGTACACAGACATGTATACAAGTAAAACACCCATATATATACATATATATATATAAAGTAAAAATAAATCTTTAAAAATATATAAAAGAAATAAAAAGGAGACACATCAGTGAACCCACATTAAGCATATTCAGCTGGAGATAAAAGTATTCCTCGAGACTGCTAAGGCTAATCTCTGGATCCCACAGTGGCATAACATGATTGGCAGAGCAGGGGGAGGAGACTGGGATGGGAGAGGTGGAGCCATAGAGTGTTTCTCAGCTGCTCAGCAGCATCTGGCAACGAGAGGAAGGAAAGTTGAAGCTATATCCAAAGAAGTCAACAGGATTAACTTCAGTGGGTCACAAAACAAAACAGACATGAATGTGAGAGAAGAATTTGGACGGGTGGTAGGGAAGTGGAGGGTGACAGTGGCCAGTATGTATCAAGACATATGTGAAACTGCCTGCTAAGAACAAATTTAATTATAACAAGTCAACAGCAACAAACAAGAGGTCTTTAAAAAGCAAAACAACAACAAAAGCCAGAAGGAAGTCTTAGATACGCTTATAAGGGAGCTTGTAGTTTTGAAACAATCCCACCTGTAGGACAGAGGAAATGAACGCACAAGACTGCCAGGACTAAAGGCACTAGGGCCTAAGGAACCCGTGTCCTCAGGTTTTTACTGCTTTTTAAATTTTAAAAATATTTAAATTATAAGCATATATATGTGTCTGAGTGTGGGTTTGCACATGTTTCCGCCTGCAAAGACCAGAAGAGGAAGTGTGGCATGGAAAAGGATGTCATTGTGGGCTCCTAATGCACCTGAAGCAAGGGTTCTAAGCAGATGTGAGCCACCCAATATGGGTGCTAGGAACCAAATTCAGGTTCTCTGGAACAGCAACAAACACTCCTAGCTCCTGACCTATCTCTCAAAAGTAAGAAACAACAATATAATGACCATAAAGTGCTAACCAGCCTCAACTAATAGCAACAGTTTGCTAATTTTGCTTCTTCTATAAACTCTAAACATAATGGACTTTTCAAAGCACATCCCAGTGGTCTCATTTACCTACAAGGAGATCACAAAGTCTACATTTCGCCATTGATTACTCAACATTTGAAAGCCAGTCACCAGGATTCTTGAACTATACAGTGTATACAAATCATCTGTGACCCTTCCATTTGTATCTCCATCCGTCTCCCAATTGATGCTGATTCTGGTCCTCAAATCATATTCTGCGTGGCACAGACTAGACAACTGGGCACAGGACTAATTTCACTATTTCCCTGGGATCCTGGGGGAGGGGCTACTGTGAGATGAAAGGTAGACTAGGAAACTAAGCAAATGTTCACGTTTTTTTCCTTCATGAGATAGGTCTAGAAAGAAATAAATAGAGAAAAACAGAAAATTTGGATGACAAATGGATCAAAGAGTCAACAAAGCAGATACTACTACTACCTTTGGTGCTGGGAAGGTTATATGCAATAGCCACTTTCTTCTGTTGGAATTCCTTCAATTTCATAATGCTGTCTGTGAGTAGGTATCTTTTAGCTAAAGAATAGGAAAAGAAAATAAGTGAAATTATTTTGATTGTTTTTTTTTCCCCTTAAGAAATAACATAGAGCTCGGTTGACTCCAATGAACTCATTTTTTACCTATTATATCAATAAATGATCCATCCAGATAGATACAAATATTATAGTATTTCTGGTGAGGAAACAAACATCTTCAGTTTACTACTGAATTCAAATCTTGGCAAAAGTCTTATGTTTGAAAGTAGGTAATGATTAACGGAGTGTGAAGACTGGTTGACACAAGAGAAGTAAAGAACAAATGGGCTTTTGCCATCTAGGTAAGGGCTTAGTAACTGCATAGACACCACACACACACACACACACACACACACACACACACACTTTTTTTTCTATTTGGCTTATCTTGGTTTGAGAAGCATGGGATATTGAAAAAAGCTACACCGAGACTTCTGGTTTTGTAAATTCTGAATTGAAGGTGGCCTTTTAGATCTGGACTCAAGTAGCCTTAAATCAGAAATCACGGACTACAGCTTAGCAAGTCTGGAATGCACCCTTCTTCAGCATTTTTGGCTGTGCTTGAGATAAAAACATATGAAGCTTAACCAAAAAACCGTGCACTGAGATCTGCTAAGACACAGTAATAATAAAAATAGCTATTTATGAAAAGGGAATCCTGTGAAGCTGTCAGACCCGGGTGTTTTGTTCAAATACCCCCTCTGCCAGCTTTTTGTGTCCTTGGGCAAGTGACAGTCTCGCACGCTTCCTGTTTTGTAAAGGTACAACCTCTGTCATTGGATGCTGACTGAAGAAAAGGAATTCATATACGTAAAATACATCACAAGGTTAAATACTTTTATTATCATTCAGTAGCCGTCTCACGTTTAATATTTTCAGAAAGGCAGTAAGGAATAACTTGGGGGATGAGGAACCCTGCCTCGAGTCTAAGGATGTAAGGAGCAGAGCTGGGGTTCTCGTCTCTTAAATTCTGCCTTGCAGAAAAGAAAACCCAGTGAGTAAGGAATGTTCTCCAAGAGCAACGTAGACCATTCCGAGTCCAGACCCTAGCTGTCCTTTGCTTTCCAGGCACCAACTGAAGGTGTTCGCGGTCCCCAGCAAACCAGGCTGCACACACGTGCAGTCAGAGGGAAAGGTCGCCCGAGCCTTCTCCAAAGAGAGATGCTGCTGGGGTCTCACGCTCCCTTCTCTTCCACCCTCCCTTCCTTCACATCGTGAGGACGCGGGTACCTCCGAGAGTGCAGCGGCCGCAGGCGGAGCCTGAGCCTGTCACCCCGGGATGCAACGAAGGACGCGGTGCCCGCAACCTTTCCAGGGGCCTAAACACCGTAGCCATATTGTCGGCGCCCGGACCGAACCAACTGCGGCACCCGGGCTGGGGGGAAGCGTCCGAAGAGGTCCATTTCCGGCGGAGGCGGGCTCTGCCCCTGCCCCGCCCACCTCTGGCTCTGACCCCCGGGCCGGCATTCCACTTGGTACGCTTCAAGATGGCGGCCCCCATGGTGCGGTGTGGGATGCTCCTGGCTCGGAGAATAGCTACGGCTCGCCTTTCCCTGGCAGGTTGGTGGCTGCTGCCTTGGAGGGGCAGCTCCATTGGGCCCCTCAAGACGCTCTTCACTGAATGAAGGGAGCGATAAGCTTTCAGGAACGGCGTAAATGCTTCTGGGATCCGGTTGCTAGAGAAGCCGTTTAGGTTATTGGTAGCGTAGAAAGGAAAAGAAACTCATTTCCTTTAAGGATTAGTACCTGCCAGTCCAAAATTATGTGAAGTAAAGGAAGCCAATGGCATGAGAGATTTTGTGTATGTCTTGCAGCTTTAATGTGCTAAGCCAGTGGACCTTTTACTTACCATGAAAAATCCAAATTATGTTCACGCCTGGGGCCAGAATAGTTTTCTTCCACCTGAGAATTCTTTGGAGGGGCGTCAGGCCAATGTTTTCTTCACTGCTTTGTACTTGATGGTCCGGATCCCCGGTCTTCACCTCATGAAAGAATATTTCATTACTAACTTCGCTTTCCCCAGTGACCGTGGTCACAACTGCCACACGTTTCATTTTTACCGTTTCCCCCATGTAGGTGAACAAGTGTTAATAGTTACCCGTAGAGCACCTTGCTGTCTGAGTTGAGTCGCGCGCCACTCAGAGTCTTTTTAGTGGACCTGATGATGAAAACACATCTTAAAGTATTTAAAGAAGCCAAGTTTGCAATGGTTTTAACTTCATAATCCTTGAAGATATGCTGGATTATAGGAGTAAAATGTACTGGCCACACTTGGATGTTTCCAATCCTGCTTATCCCCTCTTTTCAGTGAACCTCCCTTAACACCAGCTTTTAAAAAAAGCAATACATACTTGCTCACACTGCTTAATGTACAGCCATTAAGAAACTTCATAGTTGACCTCAAGAGTTTTCTGAAGATTAAGTGGTTGAACTACCTGGTAAAAAGGTTGCATATCACACATTTGGCAAATTGGTACAAACAGTACTTGGTACTAAAGTAAGAATGTTCTGTAGAGCTACTTAACCATATTTAATTATGATTGGTAGTAAGTTCTTTGAAATCTACTAAGTCCCTGTTTAGTAGATAAGGGAGAGTGTGTTGGTTGCTTATAATGTCTGGGACAACCATTCTAACAAGGGACTGGAAATTGCATGGAGCAACTTGAGAGAACCTTTAACTTAGTGGCTTGATTTCAGTTTAAACTAGCAAACTTATACTGCACCTGTGCCATTCCAACATGGTAGTTGCTAGTACATGTAGCTATTTAAATTTAAATTGAAGATACATAAAATTAAAAACTTAAGTTTTTTAGTGGTAGAAAGTGTTTTAAGTGTTCAGTGGATCTATGTAGCTGGTGGTCTTTGACTTGGACAGCTTAGAATAGAATATTTCCATCATTACAGTAAGTTATATTGGACAAACACTACATTAGGCCATGGGTGGAGGCTATAGGGAGACAATATGAGTACACAGGACTCAGCTTTGGGTGTGTGGATGAATGGCTTGACTTAGACATATTGAAGTGTTCGATCTGGAAAAGTACTCTGCTTTGTACGAACTCATAACAGGCCAGTTAGCATATGGAGCAGTGAGACTTCTATCTAGTCTACTTAAAACACGATGAGAAACAGCTAAAATGATCAAAAAGATGGAAGAAAAGTTAACTGAGGTAGAACAACAAAGACAAGGAAAGGAAAGGATAGAGGATGGAAGCTAACAGCATTGATAGGATTCTGTGTGCAAAAGACTGGTGCGTGAGAGCCCAGCGGCCTCCTGGTGAACCAGAGACAAATATCCCACACAGACAGCTTAAGTGGGGGGTTTTATTAGATAAAGGGGGAAGGGGAGGGAAGAGACAGAAAGAAGAGAGGGAAGTAGGCTGAGTTTAGCCTTCTAAAGTGACAGGATACTGCATGCCTTGCCCTGTTAGGTCCTCAAGGAGCTGTGCCAGGTTTGTCTGAATGCTGATAACCATTATTTAGTAGACATTAAGAGACTGAGTCCTCAACTACCATGCTGAAATCGGTAGTATTCCCTCATTCTGTGTATGATGAAAGACAGTCAGGTGCTGTGTGATTTGACCAGTTTTTCGTAGCATTTATTATTGGCAAGCCAAGGATTAGAAGTTAACTTGTGACCCTAAAGCTTGTCTGTTTCCACAGTTGCATTATTAGCATCTTTCAACAACAACAATAACAACAAACGCTTGGAAACATTGGATTAAAGGCCCAAATCATGAGCCAGGCATGATGGCACATGCCTTTAATCCTAGCACCAGGGAGGTAGAGGTAGGTGGATCTCTGAGTTCAAGGCCAGCCTGATCTACTAAACTAAGTAAGTTCCAGGACTTTTCAGCCAGGGCTGAAACAGAAATCCTGTCTCAAAAAACAAATAAATAGTGAAGATTGAAATAATAATATGTATAAGAAACAGATGTTTTTCTCCAAATTTTGAGGTTATGGTCCTTAAATTCTGGTCCAGAATTCAAAGGAGAAATATTTCTTTTTATGGGTGATACTTATTTTAAAGAGTATTGTTGCCCAAAGGAGAGCAATCTAAGGATAGTAGGCATGAGAAGATTATAAACTCTCTAGTTCTTTGAGATAGAATCTCACTAGGTAGGGCTGATTGCTTTGAAACTCTGCATAGGGCAGATAGGCCTTGAACGTGCCGGTGAACCCACTTTTGCCTCAGCCTGGCTAAGTAAACATTTTGAGTGGCCCGTGTAGAGAGGGATTGGGCAGGCTGAGCCCTAAGCCTGTGAGTTTGAAGTCTGTCTGTCCTCTGACTCATTCAAATGTGGTCTGAGGACTTTCATTGTCATCACCCAGTTGTTAGATATGCAGAATCTGTCTGCCCTCTCGACCTGCAGAACTACTGTCTGCATTTTAATGAGATTCATATGCATACTAAAGTGTAGAGTCCTATCCAGATTTTTCACTTTGCTTCTGGCTGACTTTCTTTAATCTTCTGCCCCTGGCTGTAGAAATTCTTTGGCTGTAACATTAATATACAGGCTTTCAGTGTGTAGTGATGGAAAGACCTTCATAAAGCAGCACAGAAAGATGAATGTGCTGTTTTCTTCTTTAAAAGTGTGTGTGTGTGTGTGTGAGTGTGCATGCTTGTATGTGTGCATGTATGTAGAGGCCAGAAGTCAAAGTCAGATGTTCTCTTCAGTCATTCTCCACTATATAAGCTCAAGTTGTAATGTCTGTGTGGTCTGTTGTGATCTCCGGGCTACTGCCACTTAGGTTGGAGTTCTTTCCCTTTGAGATGGAATTCCCATGCCATACGACTCACTCGTTGAAAGTACACAGTTCTTTCAGTAGAGTTGTGTGAGCATCTATACAACCAATTTAGGATATTTTACCACACCCCAAAGAGATCTGTATCCGCTAGCAGTCACTCTCACTTTCCCAGACTCCCGTCCCAGATCTAGCAATGAGTAACCTACTTGCTCTCTAGATCAGCCTATTCTGATGTTTCATGGAAGTGGTTACAGTATGTGCTCTTTTGAGACTAATATCTTTTTACTTAACAGAATATTTTCAAGATTCTTATTTTTAAATTACTAAATAATGTTTCATTATAATGGCATACCAACTCTTGGTATGTAACCTGTGGATATTTTGGGCACTTCTGCTTTTTATTCACTATTAACAATGCTTCCATGAACACTGGTGTATAAATTTGATGTAAATTTAAGTTTTCATTCTTATATCTAGGAGTAGAATTACTAGGTCACTTGGCTATTGTGATAACACTTGGTGGCTGCCTGTTTTCCCAAGCACTTAGCCTCACCAGAGATGTATAAAGTTCTGATTTCACTCATAGCTGTATCTTGTGCTTTATGATTGTGATCTTCATAGTGGGCGGCTTTGCTTTGTATTTTCCTGGTGGCCAGTGATGGTAACCATCTTTGCTTGTGCCTCTGTGTGTTGTGTATATGCATTCAGCTGTTCCTAATCATAGGTTTTGTATTTTTTTTAATTCAGCCAATCACAAATCAAAAATAGTTTTTAAAAAATTGCACCTGGGGCCTGGAGAGTGCTTACTGCTCAGAGTTTGGTTCCCAGCACCCATGGGTGGCTAACGATCGCCTGTAACCCCATCTTAGGGAATCCAAGGTTCTTTTCTGACCTTCATGGGCATATGCACTTACACACCGACACACACCGACACACACACACACGAATAAAGTTACACTTGGACTGAACATGTAGTTATTTTTTTCCTTTCTTGTCATTATCCCCTAAATAATCAAACAAAACAGCTCTTTGCATAGTTGTTCTCCTGGAATTGAGTATTATAAGTAATACAGCAGAGAATCTCAAAATTTAGAAAGGTGTACCTCAGTTATATTCAAATTCTACATCATTTTATGTCAATTTTGATTTGGTTTGGTTTTTTGAGACAGGATTTCTCTACGTAGCCCTGCCTGGCCTGGAACTTGCTTTGTAGACCAGGCTGGCCTCAAACTCACAGAGATCTGCCTACCTCTGCCTCCCAAGTGCTGGAATTAAAGGCGTGCACCACCATGCCCCACTTTTTTTTTTTTAAATATCATTTTATGTCAGAACTTGTGTGTCTATGGGAAATCTTGGCTAATTCCTCAGACTTGGGGGAACAGTAACATATCGGGGAGGGGGAACTGTGAATTTGTGTGTGGTGTGTGTGTGTGTGTGTGTGTGTGTGGTGTATATGTGTGTAATGAGTGCGTGTGTGGTGTGGTGTGTGTGATATTGGGAATTGAACACAAGGCCTCACATATGCTGTGTTGGCTTTCTGTCACTAATAGCCCCAGATCCTTTTGTTCTGTTGTAATTTTTAAATACATTTATTTATTTACTTTGTAGGGGAGGGGAACATGTATGTGCTGTGGCCCATGTGGAGGCCAGAGAATAAACTTCAGGAGCCAGTTCTCCCCTGCCATGTGAGGTCCCAACATTGAACTCAGGTTGCCAGTTTTAACAGCATTCCCCTAGCCCTTTCCCCCTCCCCATCACACTGACCCAGTATGTGGGCTGGTTTTGAGACTAAGTTACTTAAACTGGCCTTGAACTCACTCTATAGCCCAGACAGACATTGAGCTTGGAACCCTTCTGCTTCAGTTTCCTCAGTGACTAGGATTACAAGCTTGTGTTACCAGGACCAGCTTTTTTTTTTTTTTTTTTGAGAACTCTCTGCTCATATCCTTTGCCCACCTTTCAGTTGGGTTGTCCTGTATTATTAAATTGTAAAGATGTTTTATGTTCCTGATAAAAGTTACTTATTTTTTTTCCATGTTGTAGGATTCTATCACTTTTCTGAGAGTATCCTTTTAGGTATAGAAGGTTTTTCTTTTGCCGAGACTGTCATCAGGCCCTTCTCATTTGTTCCAGGAGGTCGTGTATTGAGTGGGTTATAATTTGATAGTGTAAATGACTTTGAGTTTTAACATTAAAAGATTAAGATGGCCGGCAGTTTTGCCTATGAAACTGTTGAGGAGGTGTTCAGATTTTGCTGTGATTTGTTGGGAACTGTACAGCGTCCATTATAGCACCACATTCGAGTTTAAATGCCTAAGCCGGAGGCTGCAAATACAATGGAAGCCGTATTCAGTAAAGCACATCTTTTAAACTGCATGCCTGTTGAGACGCTTGACTTCCTTTCCCTCAGGTAAAAGATGCCTACTTTCCGCAGCATACGTGGACAGCCACCAGTGGGAAGCCAGAGAGAAGGAGCAATGCCACCTGGGTAGGTGCTGCCGTGTTCTGTCATTTGCAGTCATTCCTCATGTCTCACGTCATGCTCACATGAAACATGCATGAAAAGATACTTTTACGATGACTCAGCTCACGGAAGTACGTTTTATGTCCTGAAAGGAATCTCCTTTGCTGACCCTGCGTTCCTTGTACTGCCCTTGTTATTTGCTGAGTTTGTGTAAGCTTCTTTCTTGCTTTTCATTCATTGTGTCATGTAATTTTCATCCAGCCTGTCTCCATTTTACGGAATTTTATACTTTGTACTATTTTTTTTTAAATTTTTAATCTCATTGTTTTCTTAACTACTATATCATTGCCAAGTGACAGATCTGGAAGAAAGTTTGCCATCTCATGGAAGCCATGAAATGACAGTGTCTTCCCAGGAGTAAGCTCACACTTTACCCTCTGTTCCCCTTCTTCCTTTGTCATAGTTCACAGATGGTGGCCTTTCGTGTAAATGCTACCAAGGCCTAAAAGAAGCCACTGACCCCATAAGCACATTTTACAAATGTACTAGCATACTTGTGACTGCCCTGCCACGCATAGGCCATCGCCAGGACACTGTGGAGTGAACAGAGAGGAGGTGGGGTATGAGACTGTTGGTGTGCGCGTGAATCCCAGTGCTGGCCTAACACTACCCCACCCTTGTGCTTGTCTCAGACAGAGCAGATCCTCCTTTGTCCACAAAGGGCAGGGACATGGCTGTCAGCTCAGACCGCTGTTTGGATGTTTCAGAATGGTCATGGTCTCCCCTGAGCATGTGAGTTGCAGAGTTGGTCAGCAGCTCTGGAAAGGGTGTGTGGGCTGGACCAGCCAAAGCAGAGCTGGGCAGGGTGCGAAGGTATGTGGTCGAGCCCTCCATAGGGAACTTACAGTTTGACTCTCGCTTTAAAGGATTGGCACAGCCTTTTAAATCAGCACTATTTACTCTCTTGAAATTAAATTCAAAGCAAATATGTTTCCATACATAACACTTTCAAATTTATATAATTACCATGATAGAAAAAAGAAAAACAAAGTAATTTGGCATATAGTAGTATTTGGAAATGTATTGAGATGTTTAGGCCTCACCAAGGGTTCGGAAGTAGCTACGTCCTTACATTCTCCATGCATAGCCGTTATATACCATAGTACATTTTTTTGACTTCATTAATTAATACTTTTTTTTCCTATCTTTTCTGTCACTTGACTCCAAAAATGTCATTGACCACATTTTTCGTCCTCTAATACAGGATCCATTTCAGGTTCACATTGCATTTAAATCAAGTCTTCTTTAATTTGAAATTATTCCTTCTCCTTTCTTATTGCTTATGCTGTTCTTACCTTTTTTTAATGGTTAAACTCCAGTCTGCTTTCCCAGGCGCACCACTCTTTGCCGCTGTGACCCTTTCGGTGTGTTGTCTGGATATCTGTGTGCCTGCACTAGCCATGTGAGCTTCCGTCTCCTGGTCACTGTGTCTCATTTCTCCACTGCAGCCTTGGCTGGTTTTTCTCCCTCTTGACTAGTAGCCTAGAAGTAGGGAGACATTAACAAATAGTGATGATATTCTGCTGCTTCTCCAGGTTTCCCTTAGGTTTTTTTCCCATCTGTGCATCTAGCCTGAGTCTGTACCGAGAGGGCCGCAAGGTGATGGTTTTCCAACTCCACCCCCTTCCACACTACTGCTCAGCTCTGTCTTCTGAGGCAGCAGACCTTGCTTTTGTGATTCTTTCTTGTTTATCTGTCATTGACATTTGTTGGTTTATTGTTTTTTTTTTAATGGTCCATTGCTGTCATGAATTATTTAGAAGTCCGGTGCCCCAGCCTGCCTGGCGGTAGTATGAGTGCTTTCTAGTCAGTTTCCATGTTCTCGCTTGCCCCTCCCTCCCTTCAGTGCTCAGTGCGCTGCAGGCCACTGTACTGCCCTTCCCTCGCCCTGCACCTGGCCCTCTTGGGAACGCTCATCCCGTTAGTGGGGAGTGGTATTAGAAGCAGGATGTGGGTGTTAGATGTCCCTTGATCCTTACCCAGAAATAGGTTTCACACCAATTCCTTGCTCTCCATCCATCGGCATGGGTTTTCCCTCGCCTTGCTGTAGTCTCCCTTCTGTGCTTAGATCTTGGCTCCAGGCAGAGGCAGGGATTTGTGGGGAGAGTCCACAGCATTGCATGGTATACCAGTTCTCTGTCTTCTATCCAGAAAGTACCAGCTGTGCCTTCCAGTCATCGTGAAAGTCATAAGTAACCTACACGTTATGTTAAGGCGCCCTCTGCGGTCAGTCTCTTCATAAAAACCGCCATTCTAGTGATAATTCCAGTGTAGCTTCAGATAATTACATAGCAAAGATGTTCTCATGCGCCATACATGAATAATCCACAGTGCTATGGAAATACAAGTAAAGGAATGCTGCATTCTGGGAAAGCTTTTTAAGCGTTTTCCTAGTGGAGGAAAGATGAGATACAGTGGAGACAGCCACTGTATGTGTCTTGTGTTAAGGATAGTTATTAAATCTATTATAGGACACAAATCCAGGGATCTTTGTCCTGGCTACATGAATAAACTATTTATTTTTGTTTGAGAACATGCCAAAGAATGAGGCTAATAATCTGTGACACATAAATATCATGGGGCAGTTGTCTCTTCTCTGTTAAAAACAATACTTGGGAAAGCAGAGTAAATTACTATTTCCTGAACACCTCCAGGCACGGTTGCCCCTCCCCCTCTGCGTCCAGTACCTTGCTACACCCAGTCAGAACTGTTTTCCTACCTTTGTTTTTTGAGGCAGAGTTTCTTTGTGTAGCCCAGGTTATCCTGGAACTAGTTCTGTAGACCAGGCTGGCCTCGTACTCAATAGAGATTCCCCTGCCTCTACCTCTCGAGTGCTGGGATCAAAGGCGTGTGCCACCACCGCCAGGCATGTTACCTGGCGCTGTTGCCTTCCTTTAATGTGATGTGGATTGTGCACCCAAGAACTGTGCCTCAGTTCTACCAGTTTCAGCTGTCCCTGTTCGTGTCTGTAGCCATAAATCGGGGTGTGTGGTGTCTGCCTTAGTTCCTAAACATTCATCCTAGAAATATGTGTAATGAAAAAGTCCTGAGTCCCTTGTGTCTGACCCTGTATATATTATCTGATGTGAACTAAAGTTTGAATTCAGACTTTTTGGAAGAAAAAGGAGCCTTCAGAGATCGTATTTTCCCATTGTGTACCTGCTCCCACCTCTGATTCATACAAGCACATTTTTCTGTGTATGTATCACGACTGCTTGCTTTAACAAGGTTGAAATCTGATCCTGCCTGCTGCCTGCTCCGGGTGCTCCCTGGCTGCATCCCCGCGGATCAGGCCGTAGATGGCAGTGTGGTCCTTTAGAGAAATGCTTTTCCTTCTGCGCTGGGCGCGGACCTATCAGGGAGCGTGCGCTCATGTGGAGCGCCGTGATTGGACATCGCGATGGGAGGGCCGTGAGGTGCTGGTTTCGGGCTCGCTGATTGGAGGAGGGAGGAGGGCCGATATGAGGCATTTGCTCCTGTGGCCTCCCATTGGCTCGGCAGCCGGTGTGTGGCGTATTTGGCGCTGCCCGCAGAACCTGGAGAGGTTCTTGAGCGTTAAAAATGCTGCGTTTCTTTTTTTCTTGAAAGTTGCTTGTTGCATTGCCTTATGCATTCCAAAAGATGCACAGGTCGTAAGCAGTAAATTAGCACAAAGTGAGCACACCCAAGTAGGAGATGGAACATTCGTCTTGCTTTCCTTGGAAACACCTGAGATCCTAACTTGTTTAGGCTACTTTATAAGAGTTTTAAATGAGAAAGTGTAAAGCAGAAAAGATGATAATGTAACGAACCCCCGTTACCCGCTGTCTGGTTCAGCATTTATAAGCGCTGAGCCTTTTTTCCTCTTTCTGCACCCCTACCTAATCCTTTGAATTATTTTAAGACAGGCCCAAGGAAGCAAATAGGGGTGTGGGGGGGCGACAGAGAGAGGAATATGTTTTGTGTATTTAAAAAGAGGTTTTTAAAGACATTGTTATATATATAAAGCATTCATGTGAATATGAAATAACCAGCCTTCGGTATTCCTCACTGTGAACTCAGGGAACCTCTGCCTCCCAAGTGCTGGGACTGGATGTGTGCACCACCACACCCGACCAGTTTCTGGTATTCTTGTTTGTTTCTTTTTCGAGACAGGGTTTCTCTGTAGCTTTGAAGCCTGTCCTGGAACTAGCTCTTGTAGACCAGGCTGGCCTCGAACTCAGAGATCCGCCTGCCCCTGCCTCCCCAGTGCTGAGATTAAAGGCATGCGCCACCACCGCCCACCTCAGTTTCTGGTATTCTTATAAGTACATTGAACAAGGACCCAACTGAAGCATGCCAGTAAAGTTGGTTGTCCTTTTCTTGACGCTTTAATAAAATCTGTTTGTAGAAACATGAAGGTGAACCCGATCTAACAGTTAACAATTAGATTTCATCTATATCCTATTCCCTTTCATCAGACTGCTTAAGTAAATCAGCTACCTAATCATTTCACATGTATTTGATACATACCTCCAAAAGATGAGTATTTTAAGGATAACTCTAATGCCATCATTAAATATTATACATTCACATTTCCTCATATCTTTGATATGTTTTCTTCATTTACAGAGGACTTCCTTGGCACACTTGTGCAGACTGGCCCTTTGTAGATTATCTCACACTCTAGGTTTGCTGACGTCATCTTCTTGGTGCTGTGGGATACGTCTGGTTTCCGTCTGTCCTATATAAACAGTGGTTGTAAATCACCAACATTGTCAGATTCGGGGCTTGTTCTGTGGTTTTGATTTCCTTTTGTTGTAAGTACACCACAGTAACTGCTTACCTCTGTGAGGACACACAGGCATTTGTCTGTCCCTCTGCCAGGTGAAGACCCTGGTGATCCTGCCTGACTCCATTATTTCCTTAGTAGAGCAAACCGTTACTGTTGTATTTCTGTCGTTTGTTCTTTGTTTACTACCAAGAAAAAATACTATAATTTTTTC